CACAACATGATCCACCAACGAAAAAAGCCCAAAACAGCACGGATCCCAAGCCCTAAACCTTAACCCTTGGTTAAACCAGAAGGATCACAAACGAGCTTGCTTCGAGGTTCATGGGTAGTTAAAACTGGGGCTGAAAGTCCCCTAATAGGAGTTATAAGTATAGTAACCCTACTTATAACCCCACTTATAACTACCCATCAAGCTCCAAGTGATCCCTAAACCCTATACCCTTATAGAACCCCTATAGATCCCGTTAAAGGGACCCGTATGAAAGGAACCCTCATAACTACCCATGAACCTCCAAGTGATCCCTAAACCCATCAAAGAGGTCCCTCTGAGCCGGGTGCGCGGGATGCTAAGGTCGTGTTGACCTCCGACCTAGCGAAGGGAATGGTTCAGGGTTTCGGGTTTGGTTAAAGGTTAAAGGCTTCAGAAGGATTCCTGTGAAGGTTCCTCTGAGGCTTTCAAAACGGGTTCTACGAGAGCCTTACCGTTTGGGGTTTCTGGTAGCTTGGGGACTCAGGGCTAATTTGGCCTTGTGGTTTAGGGCTTCGTGTGCCATGGGGGTTCATCATTTCCTGTTTTAGCTCTTCCTGCTTCGGGGTGTTCTTTTTGATTCTGGTAGGTCATTATGCACCGCTCATGGTTTGCAACGCTTCCGGGATGTAAGATCGCTTGGGCCTCAGGAGTTTTGAGCTGCGAGGCCTTGAAGGGGTTCCTCCAGAGGCACGTTAATCCCCCAGCATATTATACTACCATATACAGGTACATGCAGCCTAAGGGTTTAAGTAAGCCCTAAACACAGCCCTAAACCTCTAAACCTCTAAACCCTCTCGGTCACCCCTAATCCCGAAACCCCACAGCCTCTACACTCCTAAACCCTTATCGTAAGCACTAAACCCTAAACCCTAAACCCTAAACCGGTAAGCACTAAACCCGAAACCCCACGTCCTGAAAAAAGCGCGCCGGGCCGACAAGACGGAGACCTGATTGGAGCCAGCGGCCCCAAAGCCTCCACAAGACGAGCTCAGGAAGTTAGGGGGTTTAGGGTTTTAGGGGTTTTAGGGGGTTTAGGGTTTAGGGTTTTAGGGTGTAGGGTTTTAGGGGATCGGGCGGTTTGGGGGTGTTTTTGGGGTTTAGGATTCCGGAATTAGCGTGATAGGGGCTTTTGGGGTTTCGGGTTGAGGGTGATTGGGGCCTTTAGGGTCTAGGATTGGTTTAAGGGCTCTATAATAGGCTTTAGGCTTCCGGAGATCGAATGGTTGGGGCTGCGGTGTCGGCTGTATCAGGAATCGGAGGCTAAGGTATCAGATGCCTTGTTGAACAGGAAGAAGGGCTGCAGGTTTAGGGCGAGGTTTAGGAAATTTAAGGATTTAGGGACAGGGGCTTCTTGATCGAACCAACAAGCCGACGTAGAGGAGGAGAAGGTGTAACAGTGTAGGGTTTATCTTCGAGGATTGAACGGCCTCCGTTGGAAGGAGTGTACCATCATCAGAATGACTGGGTGCAATCATAGTAACCGGCTATCTAGAAGGGCTTGGGGTTTTGAGTGGCAGCTGAGAGTGCCAACAGCAAGACAGCACCAGAATCACCAGAACAGACGAACGACCACGGTCATGACAAACAAAACCACAAAAGACGATGGAAAATACAACACCATGACCAAATCACCACAGCCACATCAGCAACATCAGCAACAGCAAGAACAAGAGCACCATCTACCTCACATGATGCATGGCCAACCCAATTCAGCAGCAAAGACAGCGACGAAAACCGAAACCACAACCAGCACCCAACATCAGAACAGTCGTATCAAGGTCCACCACAAGTACAAGTCCCAAACCAACATCACTAGCAACCACTGCAAGCGGCAACCACCATAGTACAACGAACAACAACCTTTAAAGCCCAGTAGAACTGTGATCGCCGGCAGTTCTTATAGAGTTTGCGGGTTTCAGGGGTTGAGAACTTAGGGTTACTGTAGAGTTCCTCCTCCCGACAGTCTTCAACGCAGGGGACGAAAGCGCATTTCACCGGAACTATATCAGAAGCATGAGCCAGAAAACCAAAGGAGCGTCACCACTCCTGCATATGCATGCTATATCTTTCCTCGCAATTTTCTGAAACACTAAACACCAATCCCTGAACCCTACGGGAACCACCAAAAACCCACCTTTTTGAGGGCTTAACTACGGACATCATGTAATGAGGAGGGTTCTTTGGGTCCCCGCCCTGTAACAGTCTATAGTAAGGCTACTCCTAAGGCTCTATATCTATACTACTTATATGATCTAACCGTTACAGAAATAAATCCTAAACCCCAATCCTGAACCCTAAACCCCAAACCTGAACCCTAAGCCCAAAAAAAACTTTAAACTCCCTTAACCCTAAACCCCGAAAGCCCCAAGCCCCTAAACCCCACCAGAAGACCTAAACCTCCAGAGCCGTATAATCCAAACCCCAAGAGCCCTAAACCCCAAATCCGAATCCCAAAACCCCCTAAACCCCAAAAACCCAAAACCCCAAACCCTAAACCCCAAAACCCCAAACCCTAAAACCCTAAACACTAAAACCCGAATTCAAACCCGAAAAGCCCTTAAAGCCCTTATAGTACCCTTATAGAGCCCTGTAACGGAACCCTTATTATCCCCTTTAAAGGAGCCAGCCTTAACGCCCCAGAAGCTCCAAACCCTTAAACCCTCCAGAACTCCGCACAACCGCTATGGAACCCCGGTAGCTCCTTCAAAGGAACCCCCAAAAAGCCCTTAAAGCCCCCAAAACCCCAAGACCCCAAATCCCCTTATAGAATCCCTATAGATCCCTTTAAAGGGACCCCCTGAAACCCCAAGAAAGCCCTTAGAGCCCGGTGGCCTCAAAGCCCTTAAGCCTTAAAGGGTACCATTTCCGGATCCTACTTCTGGCTCTCTTTAAAGGGATCTTATTGAGAGGGTCTATATCTTCAAGGGTCCCCCTAATCCTAACTCCCAATAATCCAAACCCTAAACCCTAAACCCTAAACCCTCAACCCTAAAACCTAAGCCCTAAAACCTATAGAATCCCTATAGATCCCTTTAACGGGACCCTTAAAGGAACCCCTATAACTAGCCATGAACCAAACCCCAAAAGCCCTAAACCCGCCCGTGGCCTCGTGCTGTGCCAGGGCTGCGGTCGCCCGTCGGTGAGCGACTGGGCCAGGTCAGGGCTGAACGGCTTATGGTTGCTTTAAAGGGAACTCCAGAAAGTTGGAATATGGATTTATGGTAGGATCCCCTATACTTTACCTTAAAGGGATTACGATAATGATATTCCAACTTTCTGGCTTCTACTGTAAAAGGGATTATAAGGGTTCCTTTAAGGGCTCAAAAAGGGTACTATGGGGTTTTAGGGTTTTAGGGTTTAGGGTTTCGGGGTTTAGGGGTTTGGGGGTTTAGGGTTGAGGCTTCGATAAGTTAACACAAACTATATCATCTCACACTGAAATAGACTATATTATACTATGATAATCTATAGTATACTCAACGACATGGAGGCTTCGATAAGTTAGGCAAACTATACTATAATATACGATTATATCTGAGAATATACTGTAACATGTAAAGATATACTATAATGTACTATGATATACTATAATATACTAAAATCCACTATAGTGCATCGTAATATACCAAAATGTACTAAAAGACGCAAAGACGCGACTATAACAGTTATACTACAATATGACGTATACCATAAGAGGGTCTGTGTACTCATACCTTGGCCTTGAAGAAATCCTGGTGTACGGGCTTTTCTGGGGGTCTTCGGTGTAGAGTTTAGGGTTTAGGGTGGGTGAAGTCGAGAGTTCTGGCTTTAGGGTGCGTAGCTCAATTTGGGCTTGTATTCAGGGCTCTGAAAAACATGTAAAGGGCTTGCGGTGTTAGAATGTGAGGGCTTCGGGTTCAGGGTTTTGGGGTTTAGGTTATTAGAGTCATGTGTACTAAGATATCCCAAACCCTATTCTAAGGCACACATATCGTAGAACACTTGCAGGGGCCTTTTAAAGAAACATTAGCAAGAATGGCCTAGCCTTACAGTAGAAGCCCAAAAGTTGGAAACCCCATGGCCTCAATCCTTAAAAGTAATGCATAGGGAATCCCAGCACTATTTGGCCGTAATCCGGTTTCCAACTTTATGGGGTCTACTGTATCATGTTGCAGAGCTGGTTTCACCGATGAATTCTACGAAGATGGTCCGAGCTCCCGACAAAGCTTTCAACGGCGCTCGATGGCCCGGGATTAAGGCTTTGGGCTTTGAGCTATCGGATTTGAGGGTGTAGGGCTTTTAGGGTTTCGTGTTTGCGTTTATGCAGGCGGAAGGACACCCAGAAGAGGTTTCCCAGCATTTTACAGACAGCACAGGCATGCTTACCCAACTAAAGGGTACGACTGATCCTGCTGGCTGCACTTTTCTGAACCTTAAACCCTAAACCCTATAAACCCTAAACCCTAAACCCTAAACCCTAAATCCTATAAACCCTGGCGGGTTCAGTTTTCTTCGCCGACGCATCAGGGCACCTCTCAAGAGCTCTTCAACTGTAGCATCACTACAGCCGGAACACGAAACCTCTTGTTGGTCCAGCTACAAGGTCAATGGAGAGTAGGGTTTTTTTAACAACCTAACCTAATGTTGGTCCCACAAGGTTAGTAGAGATTAGTATTCGCTGATGGCTTGGGGTTTGAGTGGGGTTTAGGGGACAGGGTCCTATGGGCGCACCTGACACACCTAAGCTCAGGTTCTGCATCTGCCTCAGCACCGGCGTTGTCTGCTGTGGGCCCGCTTCATTTTCCAAGTCGCATGCAAAAATCCTGAAGGCCAAATCTGCGGCGACTGTCATTGTAGAAGATAGTTTGAACTCGAGCGTTTACGGTTCTAGGCTTTCGGGCTTTAGCCATAGCTGCAACAAGGGCAGCTTCAGTCCCAGAGTATGTTTGGGCTCAGGGCCCCATGGATCGTGTCCTGCATTGTCAGGACTTGAAAGCGCTCAGCGTCAATCGCAGAGTAACTTCGGATGGCACGCAGCCGGGCGACATCCTGCGAGAGCGAAGAGGAGGCCCTTCATCCCCTCCTTAATGTTAGCTGATATGTGGCATGGCTCTACCCATGATAGCTTGGTGACGGCCGGCGAGACTAAACCCTAAACCCCCAAACTAACACCCTGAACCCCGAAACACCGTGTTTTGCAGAAGCAAGAAATGTGGGTCCTGAAAGGCAGAAGGCACACTTCCTTGGCTGTCGTGTCTGGTGTGCCACAGCACATGTAGGGCAATGTAGGGGCCTTCATACTGAGAATAGGCCAGAGTAGATCTTTCTGGGCAAACTACAGTATGTTTATATGTAAAACGGAACCCTACAGAAATATTCCGATCCCTATACTTTGCGGAGGGGCGATCACAACAAGCACAATCTTATCCAAAAAAGTATCTTCACATATGTTGGTTCCCTATTGCCTAGATCTTCCGCATGTGCGTAAAGCACGGGGCATGGCTTCGCTCGAAAGGGAAGCAAACCTAAGCATAGTCGAACCTTCCCGAAATCTCTTGTCGACTCTGAAACATTTCAGCGTTCCTCTGCCGGGCCCCATATCAGGAAGATCCTAGCTGACAAAGCTCTAGTACTACAAGAAGAATCTGAGACAATCGAGCGTCTGAGATAGTCTGAATGTTGCTCAAGCCCTTCCACAATCACAACCAGCCCAAAGCTGACAAAATCTCCTTTCTGACAACATCATGCTACAGGTTTATGGCTTATGGTAAAGCCGAAGACACTGCGACATCCTCAGGCTGGATCATCCGTTCCTCGAGGTGCGGTGAATGCATGAATCTTTGGCACAGATTGTGCTGGATGGTCAGAGTCATGCTAGGGTTACGGGCTTAGGTAAAACAAATAACAGTGGAGTATGATCATACAGTGCGCAATAATATAGTTGTGTGTCGTATAGTATAGTGCTTAGCATGTAGGGTATAGGATGTTTCGAGTATGGTGACATATAGTACGGCACAGTATACACTATGGTAACTGAGGGTATCCAGCAGAGAATGATGATTCATTTCAGCTTAGGGATGACCGCTTCGAGCTTAGCAAGAAACTCTTCCGCCCAGGGGCTGGCAGCAACTTGTCGTTGCCCATGCCAGTGACCAAGGGCGTGTTGACAAAGGCCGGGTTGATCAGCATCTTAATTTCGGACAGGGGCTCGAATAGTATAGGGGCCTTAATAATTAGTAGAATAAGGTTTTTGGGCCCATTTGTACTATAGTTGTAAGAAAGAGCCCCCCAAAATAGTACTGGTGATTATAAATTTAGGCCCCTATAGTACTGAGAGGAGCCAGGGTTTAGGGGTGTTGGCGCTATTTAAGGGAGTTAATATTTCGAATAGGGTTTTGTGGCATTTTTTACTTTACGTAGAAAAGGAGACCCCCAAAATAGTAGAGGTAATTACTAAGACCCCTATACATTTTAATTGTGGCAGTACTGTTTTCAGAACCTCTCAAGACCCACGGAGGTGTCAGAGCACCCCACTTTCTACAGAATGGAACAACTGCTCCGCATCAACTCAGGCCCGGACAACTTTGATGTTGTCATGTCGCAGACCTTGATAGATGCCTGCAGTCCCGAAGCATCCTAAGGCCAATTTACCTATATGGGAGATACTTGCCCAAGCCATAACGACAGTTCCCATTATGAAACCCCTACATTCTTTTATACAGGCACGTAGGACTCTTTGGGAGAGGTGTGCTAAGACTGGCGTGTTCATGTCTCGCGATCTTGCCATTACGGCTGATAGCATGTCTACACTGTGCGATGTACTGTATTATCTACTACTCTACTGAAACAATCTATATACTATACTCTACTATATTATTGTAATCTACTATACTGTATACTATGTACCATATCCTTTACTATATGACATAACCTGAAACGGACTCTGATGCTGTTGTTGGACATGGGCTTGGACATGTCACGCTTACAAAAAGCATGACGCAGTCTTCATGGCTATCGCAGCGCCCATCGCGGGCGACCACGCTTAACTTCTTGTACACCACCGGGGTCCTAAATCTGAACCAATACCCTTGAATGAATCCTAAACCCTAAACCCCGAAACCCTAAACCCTGAACTCTAAACTCGAAACCCGAAGTCTGTCAACCGAACCGGAAACCCCAGCTCTTTGCAGTGCACGCTGCTGTGATTCCAACCACGCAGTCCGTGCTTCGTAGCGGCATAAGCAGCCTGGCCTTGATCCCAGGCAGGCAGTGAGTGAACCAACGACTTCAGGACACTGTTTTGTGGCTCAGAGTCTTAGAGTTTGGGAGGGTGCGGTGTGGTAAGGAAACGCGGAGTTTGAACCTGCGAGCTTCCTTGGCATCTGCATCACAAAAGCGACACCAGCACATACATACATACACACACACACACATTGCTCAGCTTTCTGCCTGAAATGCTGCGCCTAACCCCTTCACCCCTAACCGAAAAAGCTCAACAGGAGGAAAACAAACTCTGTAAGTCTGCTATAATCTGCACAAGTGACTGCCCGACATGCCCTCGATTGCCGCAATGCTCCCGAGGTTGATGAGGGCGCCCCATTTCTTCCTTGAATTGGCTCGAGATGCTTTCTTAGCCACCCTAAACCCTAAACAAATTGGCTCGACATGCTTTCTTCTAGCTCAAAGGGCAGCTTGATGCCACTAAAATCGCTCCAACCATCGATACTGACTGACGAAACTAACATAAACACTACCCTAAACACCTTCAACCCTACTAAACCCCTAACTCCAAAAAACCCGAAAATATCAATCCCCTTGGGCAAAGTGGCGCGGCCATGTTCGGGATCAGTCGCCGAGTCAGTCGCATCACTCCATTCCTGGTCTCAGCTCCTAATAGAAGCCTTAATAATTCGGATTCGGATAGGGTTTTGAGGTATACTAGACCATGGTAAACCCAGGCACTGTAGTCTTGCTAATAACACCGACCTCGAAACTGCAGTTGGAGATTTGGAGGTACTGAGCCATTCAACTGCGACACTGCTTTCTAATCAGTAACTCTAGTCCCTGAAACCCTAATCCCTAAAAGTTCGAATTTTGTGAATAAATAAACAATAAACGTAAACTCCTAAGTCCTCAACCCCAAAATCTTTTTCTGCAACAGTCCTTGCTGGAACCCCGAGGCTCTACATGGACGGAGTCCCCAAGTCCCATACCTTCTGAGAACTTCTGGAGACTTTGGGTGGAGGGCTTGAGGATGTTTTGGGTGTAGGGTTCAGGGCTTATGGTCTGGGAGTTTGAGTTCAGGATTTAGGGCTCACAGTGCAGTAGGAGAGAGGGTTGTGAGCCTGGGAGCAGGTTCAGGTAGATCATCTTGTCCCAGTCGTCCACGTCGCCCTCTGAAGCACTTCCCGGCGACACCCGGCCAGCATTGTTCACCAAGACATCGCAACCTGCAAGCCGGGTAGTCTCCGATTCTCATCGTTGGTACTATGCTAATCTACGTTGTTAGCACAGATTGCACATGCGTGTCCTCGGACAGTCTTCCCTGACTCAAAAACGCGTATCGACGAATAAGGGTGCTGTTGCGACTACGTTTGCTGTGATTGCATTTGTCGTTCTAGCACTTCCTAGTGTTGTGACCATGACTGCTAAGAGTACCACTCCTATTACCACTCTCAGAAATGCGGTGACTGTTGCCAGTACCAGTCCTGTTCTGTTACATGTTGGCTGTCACTCTACGTTCTGAATATTGTTGCGAAGTCTATATAAACCCTAAACCGTAACGAACACGAATTGCTTCGAAGCGAACAGAATGCCTCCTACACCCCTTGACCGGGTCAATAGCGGTGACCCTGCAGCTGCGAACTGGAAGTTCAGGCCATTTGAAGCCAAGCCCTTGAAACCCTAAGTCCCGACGGTTTAGGGCTATGGAAATACTGTAGAACATTGCAGAGCCCTGTAAGTTCCCCCTGCCCCCCCTCCCGGATCCTCCGCAGCTGTCCACGAAGGAAGCGAGGGAATCCACCCCTTCCCGGTCGGAAAGGTCCACGGGAAAGGTTTGGACCTTCCCGACCTGATTCTTGATACTGTCGCTTCGAAGGTTTGGGGTGCAGGAGTGTTTGGGATTTGGGGCTCAGGGGCTTGAGGTTGTCAACGAAAGCTTTGGGCAGGTCATCGGTTCGGTTATGCAACCTTGGGTACTGCCCCCATTCAGTAACGGTCTATAATAAGGCTACTAGTAAGGTCCTAATATATCTATTATATATACATATCATTTAACTGTTACTGAGTGGGGGCAGTACCCAACCTAAACCTAAGTGCCTGAACAAGAGCCCAGACCAAGCCAGTGCAGCAAAAAGGCTCCTGGCACCTTCGAACACTCTGTGGCGACCTCGTCCAGATCCGCCTTCGTTGTGAGGCTTAGCCATCAGGGTCAAATGGTTTAGGGTTACAGGGCACAGACCTTCCAAAATCCCTTAATCCAGGAATATGCTTTAAATCGTATTAAGGATCTACTATACTTTAAAGTACAATCCCCAGTTAAGGGATATTGGAAGGTTTAGAGAAAGAACGGACCTCATGATTCGAAGTGGTTTGGATCTTTTTTTGTACATGTATATTCAGGAACCATGGCTATAATTCCGGCCTCTATGGCATTGGCCTTCACGGTAGATGCGGTGGGTGCTCAGAATGTGTTCAGCAGCACCTTCTAGACACCGTTTGGTTTCTCGGGCCTCTGGCAAAAGTGTTCAAGTTAAAGCTTCAGGGCAGGAAAAAGCAGCACCGCAAAGACATCACGGACAGAGACCAGTTTCAGGCTCATCAGGCTTGACCAGCACCTGCCCCTTAGATCCGCTCAGGCCATTCAACTTTCGAGCTCTACACCTTAATGAGTTCTCAAGCCTAAACCTGAAAGCCGTGAACCGCACAAAGCTTGCAACACACTGAAGCCTGAAGCCCTACAATGGCCCAAAACCTATAAAAGGCTACTATCCTACATATTGTTGAGGTCCGCGTAAACCCTAAACTGCCCTAAACCTCATGATCTCTGAAGCCCTGGAAGCTGGGACGGTTGCCTTGGTCCGCGCAGCCAAAACTAAGTTCGAGCTCTCCTGCAACGATGTTATACTAAAGCGCCGTCTAGTATAGTGTAAGATAATGTGTCGTTTAGCATCGCATATTATAGTGATGGAGAGAGTGAAGTGTAGTAAAGTGCAGTACAGTATCGTATATGACTGGTCGATTTCGGTGCTCGCATGGCAGGATGGTGCAAGGCCGGCGAGAATTCCAAGGAAGGAGAGAGTCCAGGCTTAGGTTAGGAAAGGGTTTGGTGTGATTCGACTAGAATACATGGAGGTTTCCGAACATAGGGGACCCGAATATAGTACCCTAAATAATAGGATCCTTATTATGATATAAGGCCAACCACAGGAACTTTGGAATCAAGAACCAGGCTGTGATCCGCAGTCATGTTGGAGCCTGTTCACCAAGCAGCCAACCAACCAACCAACCAAGTTTGAAACAGCAACACGAAAGTGCAAGAGTCATAGAGTCAACAGATCGGAACCAATGCCGCCGCAACCGCCCACTCACCGTTCACCCCTCATCACTCACCAAGACCGCCTCGCCACCACCACCACCACCACCACCACCACCACCACCACCACCACCACCACCACCACCACCACCACCACCACCACCACCACCACCACCACCACCACCATGATAAGCACAACCACCACCACCACCACCACTATCGGAGCCACTGCCATGATAGGCACCACCATCAGTGCTAACATCAACATCACCATCATGACTGCCATCACAAGAACGAGAATCGCCAGCATCAGCTTCATGATAAAGACGACCAGACTAATAAATCCCTCTGCTCCTTCGCATAGGCGAGAGCAATCGCGCGGCCGATGCCCTGCAAAGTTCAGCATGGTTCAGACCGATCAGCATGTGAGTGGTGTTCTCATGGAGGTCTACTGCCTGGCCGCATCCATGTCTGAGTAAATCGTATAAATAAATAAATAAATATATGTATATATATATATATATATATATATATAATGCGAGAGTGTAGTTGCGCCTGATGACGCCGCATTGCACCATGCACAGCACCAAGACAAGAGTAGGTTGATGTGGATGCACATGGGTTGCGCGTGCTTTTGTACTTTAAAGTGCTTGAGACACGGTGTGTATCCGCGTCTGTGTTGGCCAGGGAGCCACCATCTGACAAAAACAAAATCGGGAGAACCCTAAACCCTAAAACCCGAACCCCTAAACCCTAAATCCCTAAACTCTAAATCCCCAAACTGTATCCTCTAAACTTAAATCCCCAAACCCTGAACTTCAAGCTGTCAAGCCTGCTTCTACAACCCATTAAAGAACCCCTAAGAGTACCCTTTAAAGGGACCCTTAAAGGAACCCTTATAAACCTAAACCCAGCGACCTTAACAAGAACCCTAGTCTACTCGAGCCGAGGACCTTTAAAGCTTTAAAGGAACCCTATTCATTCTACTAGAGCCGGGGACCTTTAAAGCTTTAAAGGAACCCTGTTCTACTAGAGCCCGGGGCTGGCCTTCCCTGCGCCGGTGATCACGGAGGTCTTCCCAGTCAGCATGGCAAACCCCGACGCCTCCTGGGTCCAAAGGCTCCATGTACCTTTATAGTAGATGCTTATAGGCCTTAAAGGGGTCCCTATATAGGTCCTTTAGGGCCTATAAGTACATACTATATAGGTACATGGAGCCTTTCGCGGGTTTCAGAGGTTTACGGCTTTGTGTTTACGGCGCCTGTAAGCAGCCTATAAGGACTGTGAGGGCTCCTAAAAAGGGTATAGGGTTCCTATAAGAACAGGCACCCCAATAAGATTTACGGTATATTCCTTACTTAAGGGGTTTCGGAGTCTCTGGGTCTTGCGGCTCTGGGTTTAAGGCTCCTATAAGCAGCCTTAAGGACTATGAGGGCTCCTAAAAAGGGTCTGGGGCTTAGGGTTTAGGGGTTTAGGGTTTACGGCTGTTGAAGGGCAAGCAATTCCCGACGACTCCTGAACCCGAGGTTGGGAGGCGAGGAAGCCACGCTTTTTTTGCTCAGGTTGAGGTTAGGGCCTTGGGTTCATATTGGGGTCCCTATAATAAGGATCCTACTATACATTATTTAGGCTACTATGTTAGGGTCTTTTTTTTTGGCATGTTCAGGGTTTAGGATTTAGTCCTACGAGATCACCCCCGCCATCAGTCCTCGTCAAACGTCAGCTGCTTTGAGCTGAGAGGCCCAGCTGGATGAATGTATCGAGCCGAAAACCACGGCTTTGGTTTAGGTCTACGGCTAGGGATTAGGGGTCTAAATGTGACGTTTAAGAACGTTTCGGGTAGGGTGGGTGCTGCAAAGGGCTCGTTTGTTAAAAATGGTTTCCGTACTGGTTTTGTAGGGCTGTCTCTTTGGTATTGAAAATGCAGTCTGACAGGGCCAAGCCTTGATTGGTAGACTTGGATTGCTTTTCTTAACCTCTTGCTGCTCTTGCTCGTATGTACATGTACCAGAAATATGACATCTTCGTCTCCAATGCTATAGTCGTTGAGTGTACAATACCATGTTAGTGTGCGCATGTTACATTACAGTGCAATATCTGTGGAGCTTTCTATGCCACCGGGCAAGTGCAGTAATAGGTAACCTAAAACTGTTGTGCATCGCATGTTAATGGATTTTCTTGTTGCAGAAAGTTTTCCGGTGCGGATCACCCTATACGCTAAAAGCCCTAAACCTGCCGAACAGCCGAGCCGGCAGTCAAAACCCTGCCGGAAGCTCTGCAATCTCCATCTACATTCCCCATTTCTCCAACCCAAATAAGCCTTGCACAGAACATTGTAACATGAGCAGAAGCACCAACTCCCCCTGACCCTCAACCCAAAAACCAAACCCTACAGACCCTAACCCAAAATCCCAGATCTTTTTCGCGTCGCCGCAAGAACTCCGCCATTGAATACAATGGGGCCGTACAGGGTCCTCGGGAAGCCTTTGCCCACCTTAGTAGCTCTGCTGAAAATAAAGTATATGGGGGACCCAGCACCAATCATCCTAAACCCTCGGGGATTCTAACTCTAGGGCTTTGGAGACACGAGGTTCCTGAATAACTTAATAGCAGTAACCATGCTAGTACGAAGAAGAAGAACAACAGTAATGATGATAGTAGCATTCATAACAACAGCAAGAACATATAACAACCACCAAATGAAACATCTATAAGCCAAAAGCGATGAGTCCAAGCAGCGAAATCGAAGTTGATGGCAAAGCCCCGTTCGAGGAGAGAGGCCCGGAGGTGGTTGTGGAAGTGGCCATGAGTTTTCAAGAAAAGGTGTCGGACATTCCTCGTGTACAGTGAGGGCGTAGTTTAGGGCTTAGGGTGTCGGACGGTCCTGTGAGGTTTATATAAGGGTTCTCTTAGCAATTGCTGAGACAGGTTCGATATGGGATTCGGTTTTGAATTAGGGTTCAGGGTCCTATCTATCGGGGTTCCGCTTCAGGTTTAGGACTGAGTTAAGGCTTTGTTGAGGGTGTAAGGGTTAGTTTAGTTGCCTGTTTGGCTTCATGTTGTCGTGTTCTTTGCGTGCTTTCCTGCTTATCTATCTATCTCTCTCTCTATCCATACCTCCCTAGTACAGTAACGCTTGAAATATTCTTGCAGTGCCCCTTTATCGTAACCTGTGTATATATATATATATATATGTATGTGTATATATATATATATATACTAACTAACACTGTGCTGTGCTACTTGCGGAAGCCCGGATGGACTTGACTTCTCCTTCTCTTTCATAGGTGGGAAAAAAAGCGGTACGCAGTTCATGCCATGGAAAGCCCACATTAACCCCTGGGAGTAAACAAATCCCCCTACTCATAATACCCTTGAGAGTAACCCCTTCCAATACATCCAAGTTTCTGCAAGAAGTTGCTCCCAAGTATCAGCTGCCCCTGCTCTTCCTGATCACTCCCGCGTGGCAGCTTGCTAAACTCAACGGGTCCGGACACTCAGTGAATAATATTGGGGATAACTAAAACGAGCTTCCGTTAAAGGGTTCTACAATGATTTGCGGAGGTTTAGTATAGGGGCGTTGTATATAACAAGTCGAAGGCCTAGATCTGTGGCATCACGCATACTCGTCCTGCTAACTTCTGGAAACCCCTAAACCCTGACCCCCTACACTCTAACCCCGAAACCCTAAACCCCAAAACGCAAAAACCTTCGGGTTCAACTGCCCATTCGCAAGATCCTGCCTCGAAGATATCGGCGTGCATGAAGTCAATTTGCCCAGCAGCATGTAGCGTAGAATCCTGCACTCTACATCTTAGGGCCTCAGAACATCTCAGAACCAATGGGCCCAAAAGAGGATAACCTTTTCAATTGTGGTAGGATCATGCAAGCCCCAGAAGCTCACAGGCTACCTACTCGGCTACTAAAACATGCAAGCTTCCAAACTTGTCGATGATGCATGCCTATCAGTCTTTGCTATGGAGCGTCTATCTTAGCGTGTGCTGAGCTGCTGCTATACCAATGTGGACCTACTTGGGACTAGAAGAACATAAAACACACGAGTGGTTGTCAAAATTAGGGTCCCTTTTCGGGTACCATACATGTAAGGTGCCGTAATATAATGGGTACCCCAAAAGGGACCATAATTTTGACAACCACCCACATATATGCATCTCAAGCCAGCAGAACCAAGAACAAACAAGCATCCAGCCCCGACCCCTAAACTTAGGCCCTACCTTAACCCTGAATAACCTACGTCTTTGTGGTTTCCTTATTATGATTTCCTTAAAAAGGTAGGTTATTCCGGGCGAAGGTAATCCCTAAAGCCCCAGAGCCTTTCAACCCCCGAAACCCGAAAACAACCCAGAGCCCTCGAACTGGGCGATTGTTACGAGATTGTGTTAAGTCACCATAACCAAGAAACAGTATTATTTACTACAGATCCCGACTATGGTAACTTAAACCTCAAACCCTAAACCCTAAAACCCCCAACTAAACCATAAATCCTTAAACCCCCAACCCTTAACCCCTAAACCCCCAACCCTCAAACCCTTAAACCCCCAACCCTTAAACCCTTAACCCCTAAACCCCTAAACCCTTAAGCCCTGAGAACCCTGAAAGCCCTCAACCTGTCCAGCAACCCAGAGTTGATCTGCGATCGGTGGACCGTCGTGTTGCAAAGCTTCCGTCTGCCTGGAGTCGGATTTAGGGTTTAGGGTTTAGGGGGTTATAGGGTGTCGGAATTGGGGTTTCGAGTGTGGTACAGGTTCGGTTCTAGGGTTTAGGGTTGGGGATTTGGGGTTTAGGGTTTGGGATTTAGGCTTGACGGGGTATACCCAGAGAACCCAATACGCCTCTATTAAGGAATATACCTTCAACTATACGGGCCTTAATATTATGATGTATGGTCTATTCCTTAATTTGGGGGGATTGGCATCTCTGGATCTAGGGGTGCGTATCCAGGGCTTTGCTTTCGTCGGCCGCGGGCCGTCGTCATGAAGCTGCGGAGACGTCGCTGGCAGCGTGGGGAAGAAGACCAGCTTGCAAGAGCCTTGTGAGGGATCTCTAAGAACTTTCAAGGGCTCTCAACCCTAAACCCTAAACTGTGTGTGTGGTTTTATGAGAGCTCTAATGTAGTTCTATAATCAGTGAGGTTCCTGCCAAGGTTATAACAGAGTTGCATAAACCTGAAACCCTGGACCATAAGATTGGGTTGCTACAAAGGCTATCACAGGGTCACATAAACCCTATCAGCCCTGGAACCATGAAGGTTATACAGGGGTGCTTACATCGCTTCTTTATGCAGCAAGAAAAGGGTTCGGTTTGAAAGGTGTATCAGAAGCTTCAGAATAGTATTAAACCTACCCTACACCTAAACCCTGAATCCCAAACCCTTAACCCCAAGCCCAAGCCCCAAACTCTCATCACCACCCTAAACCCGTAAATCCCTACACCCTGAACCTTAATCCTAAACGGTCAAAGGAACCTTAGAGGATCCCTTAAAGGAGCCCCTAAACCCTATACCCTTATTTGGGGCCACTGAGCCTCCATCGGAGCGATGTCGAAAGGCTTTCGCCGCCTTCAGGGCCCAGAAGAGACTGCCGGCGACTTCGATGACGTTGAAGTCTTCGGTGGGTGCCTTGGGGTTCAGGGGTTCAGGAGTTTAGGGGTTTAGGGTTTGGGTATACCTCTACACTGAAGAACCTGCATTTTTAAGGACTTATATAATCAAGAAACCGTAATAAGGAACCCTACAAAGGTAGGTGAATCGGGGTTAAGGTAGGGTTTAAGGGTTTAGGATTTTTGTTTGAGCTCCGTTTTAGTCTGCCCGATCCGAGGAGCATGCACAGAGTTTAGGCTTCAGGGATCAAAGGGCTTAGGGCTTAAGGATTTAAAGTTCTAGGTTCAAAGGGTTTAGGGGTTTATTCCAGTATCATCTAGGGGACGTTAACGGCCAACCTTTGTACATTGCGGAGGGATTATATAGGGATTTTTGTACGGTACCTCCCAAAAAGTAAACACTTACCTACTCCCCAAACTAAGGGGCATCTTCAACAGCTGCCAGCAGGGAGATTGTCTCGAAGTAGTCCTCTCCCGCGACCGGACCCCATGGCAATCCTGCACACTCCAGCGCACGCGTCCTGAGCCGTGTCTTAAACAAGCGCTTCTCCGAACCAGAACCTGATGGCCCCAAAACTCAAAACTGAAGTCCTAAACCCCAAAACCCTATATACCTAAACCCCAAACCCTAAACCCTTTAAACGGTGATCTCTCGGCCAAGTGTCACTGACGTGTCGGGTCGGATTTGGGGGATCGACCGACTTCCCTCACTTTCGCTGTGACCGCAGTCCTGTCGAAGGCCGAGCCAGTCCCTGACCTAGGTTGGCCCTTCAAAGCCTTTGAAAAATATTCGCAAACAAAGATCCTCTTGGGGCCAAGAAAGGAAAATGACAAGGGTTCTCAAAGGCCGGCCTAGTTGCCGGACCTGCCACTTCCCTGAGAGGCCTTCCTGGGATCTGAGGCCTCCTGCTGCAGGACGGGGACCATGACTTCACCAAGGGATGATGAGCAAAGCATCGCTTTGGCTCCCATGGGTTGAATAAGGCACATCCTTGCTCCAGTTCGTCGCAGGCTGCAGTGTGATTTGCCAGGGACATCAACAACTTCCTCCCATTGAGCTGGTATGACCAACCAGAACCCAGGTGCGTGTGAATGCGGTAGGCCCGGTCAAACCACTGCACGCGTTGCTTCTGGTGTTGCTCGGAGAGGACCTGGTCCTCCTCGGCTAGAAGAGGGTAGCGGGCATGCACGGACACTGTCGAGCAAGATTCATTTGTCTGTAGATTTGTTCCCTCACCATCGTGTGTCTCGTAAGCAAACTCAGCCAAGGCCAGCACAGCCCGCGAGCACATTGTCATCTGCTCCTCCAGCACAAGTGACCCCGTCGGTAGGCGCACGAAATCCGAGCACAAAGATTGCACCTCCTGCGGCTCAACGAACCACATCGCGCCCGTGTCCAGGCGATGTAGCCTTTGAATGAGATGTAACGCAGTACAACATGGGGATTCTGATCTGGAATTTCCGGCCAAGCAGTCGCGCCGCTCCTCTTGGGTGTCGAAACAGTTGAAGCGGCTGTGGCAAATGGTGTCGAACCACGCAGTGTGGGCTATGCACTTGGAGTGCTGCCCACGCCCCAGCGCCGGCAAAGCCCAAACTCCCAGCCATCCATTCCGCTCAGCGATGGCTGAATTGCGAATCCAGTATAGCGGTGCCGGGAAGCAATAGGGAGGTAGCTCGAGGTTGTAATGGTGATATCCTATAACCTAGTTCATTCATTGCTGGGAAAGGATCAAAAACGTGCATTTTCGTTACTGGGTTTAAGTACCCATAAACTTGCCAAGTGTTACCCAACTATGACAAGTAACTTGGGATGCCTTTGGGTTCAGGTTGTGCACGTTTTGATAAGCCAGCTCGAAGTTAGCCGGGTGATACTCGTTTGATGACCCATCGGAAAACGGCCAATGTGGAACCACGAGGTATTTGGATCCGCTCCCTTCGAAATTTCGTATAGCCCGAAGTGACAAGTCGGTATCGATGTGCATGAAGACATCTCGGGCATGGATCAGGTCAACTCGTGGTGGTATCATACAGGTGATGTCAAACCGAGCGAACTTGTTTGCGAAACGTCTGTCTCCAGCAAATCGCTGTAGATGACTCGCCACCAGCGCAGACGACAGATCACCGCCAAAATACTCGACACCCCTCAGGTCCACCTCTGGCATCCACGTCATATCCCCGCAAGGCACGTCCAGAAAGGTGCGGATCTTGAGGTAGTCGAAGACGTAGCGCAAGAACTTCCGCACCTCAGTGACTCAGTGCCCTAAGGGTCCATGCACTCCTATAATACATACATTGGCCTTGATGTAACAATGTAGTTAAGTTCTCAAGGCCCAAGTATATACTATATGGGCAGGTGGACTATAAGGAGTGGTACAGCCGTGTAAGGAAGGATTCGGAGCCAGGGTTTGGGGACACTGCTGAATGAGGGAAGCTGCGATCAAAAGGTGTGCCCACAGTAAAGATTGACAAATCCTTTAAGAGCCCATATGCCCAAATGAAATATGCTTGGGCCTTATCAAGTTGTCAGGATGCTAGCAATGCTATGGCATTAGCAGCTTCTCCAACTCTGGGCTCCAGGTCGCCCTGCAGATCCCTCAAGCGGTTCAAGGTTTGGGGTTTAGCCTTATAGGGGCATAGGGGATTTGGGTTTAGGGTCTAGGGTTTAGGGTATAGGGGATTAGGGACTTTAGCATTGTGGGGGTATATGGGGACTAGGGTCTTGGGTTTGCATGAAGAGCTCCAGCCTGAGCCTGCTAACATCCGTGAATCCCCGAATCCTCAACCGTAAACCTCGCAAGTCCCCCCATCCTCCACCCTCACCCCTCAACCCTACGAACTTAGATTGCAGAAACCATTACCGAAGCTATAAAGACACCCTACCAAGCACCCTCAAAGGAACCCCAAAAAACCTGAACCCAAAACTCTGGGTATCCCGAAGGCCCTAAACTCTAAGCCCTGAAACCTACTTGGAGGTTCATGGGTAGTTATAAACGGAGTTATAAGTAAGGTAGCTATTATAATTATAACTCCTATTAGTAAGACTTACAACCCCACTCATAATGACCCATGAACCTCCAAGTCTAGGCCCTAAACCTAAACCCAAACCACGCATTCGAAGTTCGGGAATGGCGCCGGAGTCGTCGCCCAGATGCTCGAGCCATCTCCAGAAGGCTGCTGACCCCCAGTCCTCCAGGGAGGGTTGAAGGGCTTACTTCTTTTTTAAGGGCTCCTTTTCGGGTCCGCGCGAAGTGTACCAAAAGCCTCTTCAGGGGCTTAAGGTTTAGGGCCGAGGGTTTTAATGGCGGAAGACGGGGTGGGGGGGTGGGGTATGTACGGGTCGGAGTACTTTGCCCGCATCTTGAAATGAGAAGGGGAGATTGGCATAATCTAGAAGGGGCCCCCACCCTGTAATAAATAGTGGTATAATAGGAATATAATAGGACCAACATATAATCCTTATAGTCACTATTACAGGGTGGGGGCAGCTTCAAAAGCATAATCCTCAGGGCTTGGGGAGGGCGACTGTGGGTTGAAGCTCTGGTTAAAAGCGACACAAAAAGAGACGAACCCTTAACCGCAGACTTCTACGCCCTACACCCTGTAAAGCACCCAGAGGCCCAATCCCTTATTGCAGTATACGAATGCAAATCCTACATCCCACACCCGACGTCCTCAGGCCAGTGCCGTTGTGAGACCAACGCCTCAGAGCCTTCAACATGGCCAAGTTCCACGACTTCGCGTGTGTCTCCCTGGGTTTGAGGGCTTTCGGCTCTGGGGTGGAGTTCTCATTTAAGGGTTTAGGGCTTAGGGCATTCGGCTTAATGGTTTAGGGTCCGAAGCTTTGGGTTGAGAATCTAGAGTTTGAGGCTTGTGGAGGTTGCTGATAATGTCTAAGGTCATGACTTTGACATGGTAAGTTTCGCTAGATCTCTTGTAGTTGCAGTCGATCTACAGGCTCTACTTGTTGTAGCCTCCCAAAGAAGTACCTAAATTGAGATGTCCCAGCAGCCCCTATTTTCAGGCCAAAAAAGGTAAGGATATCCCGCCCAACAGTTTATTATGTCTGGGCGCTTTTTGGGGCTCCTGATCTTGCAGGGATTCCCAGAAAGCTGAAGCATGAATTTAGGATGATTAGTGCTGGGACCCCCTATACCGGACCGTCATGGCAAGAGGAGAATGATGTTCCAACCCTTAAACCCTAAACCCCAAAACCCTAAACCCTCAAACCCTCTACATATATATATATATATATATATATATATACACCCTAAGCCCCTAAACCCCAAAACAAACAGCCAAGGACTCGGAACGCATCTACTATAGGGTTCTGGATAACTGACTCTGGAGCTCGTAGCTCCCTGAGGCTCAGGGTTCCGAGTCTTTGGCTTAGGGTTTTGGGGTTTAGGGGTTGGGGGCTTCTTCAGCAGCTTAGGGCTTTGGGGCTTTAGGGTTTCGGGGGTTTGGGGCTTCGGGCTTTAGGGTTCAGGGGCTCTTTAAGCCCTGAATCCTAGTAGTATGGGGATGGGCTTGGGGTTCCGGGTGTTTGGCTTCAGCTGTTGCGAACCCGAAACCGCAGTCGCGAAATTTGACACCCGAACCCAAAAACCGGAGACTCTAAACCTTACAAGTTTAAGCGTCAGGGCTAGCACAGGATTTCAGCACGTCGTGTCTAACCCTCGCTCATCTGCTTGGGCTTAGGATCATTGCTCATTCCGTTGCAAGCCCAAATGCTTGCAGCTTTGGGGTGCTTTCAAAACTGCAGCAAAACAGTAAACCTGATCCCCCTCCACCAGGTATGAAGAGGATGCTGTCCAAAGTCCTACATACCTGCAGCTCTTATGCACCTGTCTGAATCTGAATACTGACAAGCGCGTCTGTGCTTTGCGGTTTGTTGGTGCCCGGTGCAATCGATATCAAACCTTCCACGTCGGGCGCGCTTTCCACTTATCTGATTCATTGCTATTGAATTGTACCTGCGAGGCTTCATGTACAGACCTCATAAATCCTAAGTCCCTGAGAGACAGCATGGATAGTCTCAGTCTGAGTGCAGGCAAGATATAGGGCAGGACGTAGCGGAGTGAAAGTCTCATGCACCCGGAAAAGACACTGACCCAACCGCTTCTTAAATAATCTGTCTGGTTCTTTGTTGGGAATGGTGGAACGGATCCCTATAGTAGCCCATGTATAAATCCCAGTTATGGTCTCCATAATCCATTCCCCCATTCCCTACTAAGAACCAGACAGTATTTCTGCGAGACGCCTCTCCCAATCAGAGCACTCATCCGTAGCCGCCAGGGTCCAGGGGATTGGTAAAGATCGCTGGCCCGGGTCGGCAGTCGCTCTTCCAGCGGCCGGGGCACTTCGAAAGCCAGCCATAGCCAGAAGTGCCGGGTGGCCTGCAGAGTCTCTTTGAGGGTTGAATGCTTTTGAGGATTTTGGGTTTAGGGGAATTTAGGAATTTAGGGGCATTGGTGGGGGACTAGTTTACCATGCCCTTGACTAGGGGTCAAGGGCAGATTATTACTAGAAGCTCTGATCCCTGTGCTGCGTCCGGAAGGGATATGCATGCTTTGGAGTTTAGGGTGTGCAGAACCAACCCAGCATGCGAACAACATCCCAAAAAACACATGGCAACAGATATCATATGGCTGCTACTCAAAATCATGTCGCTAGGAAACCATGCACATGTACAAGAAGCACCCGTGTATGAATGCCGGCATGCTTGAAATGCACACGAACCTGACAACCTTTCGCAACAACAGCTCGGTTCTTGTTAAGGGGCTAAATCTAAGTCTATAGCAAATTCTGCGGTTTTGGAATTGTTGCAATTTACCCTATACCCTAAACCTAAAACCTAAACTCTAACCTTCAGAAGAGTCCAATCAGAAGCTGCACAATCCAGAACTTGAGCTCCGGTAGCTGACCGAACAGGCAAGAATAAATACCAACATGACTATCATCTCCATGCTCTTTAAAGGGCTTTATGTGGGCTTTAGGTGGGTTGTTGTGGGGCTTTATGGGGCTTTGCGGTGCTGTATCTGGGTTTTAGGTTTGTAGTGTTGTACAACGCGTTACATGAGCTTCAAGTGGTTTTTATGGGGATTTACCAGGCTACATGTGGGCTTGTCGGACTTGTAATTAGGGACATTCCCGTCACTCCAGGTTCTTCGACGCTGCAAGAAAGAACAGCCCTAAACTAGGTAACTAGGCCCTGCCTTAAACTCCGGAATCCTGAACCACTAAACCCTAATCTCTAAACCCTAAAAAAAACTAAATTGTAAAAATCCTTCTTAAAAATCAACCCATGAAGCGCCCCGAAAGACTGTGACTAGCCGGCTTAGCAACTTCACTGCTCGGGAGGTCGGAGCAGAGACGCCCTGAACCCCAAAATTGAACCCCAAAACCCCAAACTGAACCCTAAACCATAAACCCCAAAATTTCAGCCCTAATCCCTAAACCCTAATTTTTAACCCTAAACCCTAAACCTGAGCCCTAAACCCTAAACCCTGAACTTTCCTCGACCCGAAACCCCACCTCCTGCGGGCCCTAGCTGGCACAGGGACGCCGCTTGAGCCCAGGAAAGCATCGGCTCGGCTTTCTCCCATTGACTGATATGGGTGTAATGCAGGGGCCTTGCTAATTAGAATAGGGTTTTGGGGCCCATTGTACTATCTATATATATATATATATATATATTAAGGAGCCCCCAAAGATAGTATTGGTAATGATTTGGACCCCTATAGTACGGCTCAGGGCACGCGGGTTTAGGGGTGTAGGGGTTTAGGGTTTAGTACATGCATCATGGACCCTTAGTTAGGGTTATGGGTTATGGAGCAGCCTGCAGGACTACGGTGAATGAGGATTTACGGTATGCTGGGTTCTTGTCCCATGAGTGTTTTTAAAGTTGTTACCGTTGTAAAACCGCGATGTTCTTATCATGGTAACTTCAAACAGCATCCTCAACAAGAGCCCGGTATGGCAGTCCCCTGGTACCGTTGCTTGCATCGTGTTACTACAGCTGGGCTGTTTTGAGCGGTTGCTGATGCCATATCGACTCTTCTTATTGTGCTGCCATTGAGTTATTATGAGTCGTGCTCTTACTGCGGTCACCGGTCACTAGAGTAATTATGGTGGGAATGCACATCACGACTCAACTATGGCAATCAATGCATTATTGTGCTCATGGTTTGCGACTAGTCTTGGTGATATATGGGAGTTTCCGAAAATAGGGGACCCAAATATAGTGACCTAAATAGTAGGATCCTTATTCTACGGACCCCAAATAAGGTACCCCTAACTTTCGGAAAATCCCCTACCCAGACTTGTTCAGCCGCATCGACTTCGTCCCTGGTCCCTAGCCCCAAATCTGTGTAGTTCCAGACTTCAGGCTCGATCTTTCAAGCTGGTGAATACAAATGGAGCTAATCATTTCACAATAGGAGAAACTAAACCTCATCCCACACCAATACCATGAGTGCTGATGCCATACATATTCCGACACCCCATCCAGCGTCATGGACCCCACCCCCCTTCCTCAACCATCATCACCGAATCCTCACCGCCACCACCATCATCATCCTCATCTTGTTTCTGATGTTGAGCTACCCACACGTAGCAAGTCCCATGCTTTCGACCCGTGAGCACAGAAATCCCCCTAAATCCGAAACCGGATCCTCAACGCCCCCGCGCCTGCTCAGAGGGACTCTTTTGGTCGTTGCACCTCTGCACAGCTGTCGAACCTTGAGGGGCAAGATGAGCAAGGGTTTAGGCTTCTTGGGGGTTTCGAGGAACTTAAATACTTACATCATCGCAGACAGTAGTGCTTTACACTCATCTTCGATAGAAGCGAGTACAGTAATGTTCTTCGCACAGCTATCTCGGCCGTTTTCCTTGATGCTCATCCTGCTATGCACGCTTGCCATCTTAGTCACATAATCCTACGGGGTTGAGGGTTTAGGCAGGGCTCTGGGGATTGCAGGGGCGAGTTCGTCCCTTAAGTGTGCGGGGTCTAAGCAGGACGGGTGCCTGCAAGGGTTCTATGAGGGCTGTATAGGGGTGACCCGCTACAAAGTCTTCTGTATTGTCTTCTTGCGAAAGAACCCGTCTCAAGCTTCAAGGATAAGACAAGCTGCCATCGTCCCCTATAAACTTCGAGCTAAGGCAAGCTCCTTAACACGAGCTCAGACTGCACAATGAATATCATTTCGAGCAGAGGATCTTGGTCACTTGTCGGCTTGCTAATACATCTAATCTTGTCACTCGGTTGTTCAGTTTTACAGTCTTACTTTACTGTTTTTCTTGTATGAGGCGTCTAGCGATGGAGGGTCTACATTCAGGGCCCCTTCCTCTCTTTGGGCTCCAAGTTTGAGTCTATTTCCACCTTGCGCAAGGTATCTACTGTAGGAGCGGGTGCTTAGGCTTAGGCCGACATCACCGCATGAGAAATCGAACTTCAATACTAAGTTAGATTCCCAGATCTGCATCAGCCACCACTACGATAGAATTAAGGGAGGCTTGGCCCTCAACCACACCGTGACTGTCAACCAATCCGAATGCTGCGCTCCGTCACGGAAGCTCCCGTATTGCTGTGCAGAAACCAAGTCTGGGATTCAGGGTGTATGTGCTGCTACATGTGTCCTTGTAAGCCTTGCCTACAGTCTCCATTCTAGTTCTTTCTGTTGGTCTAGCAAACATTAAAGTGTAACCCAACCAAGGGATTTACAATGGAGACTAGTAGATGACCAGTAGTATTCCCTCATGGCTCCTACTACAACGAAAGTATCACAAGTCATCCCCCAACAAACCCTAGTCTAATGATTACGGCCCCTATAGCAATGAAACCACATAGCCCGAGCCCGGCATCTCAGACGCGAGCTACATTTGCAATCATTTCGTTGTGCTGCCTGTCAGGTTTAGGGTGTAGGCGTCTGCGGTTTACACTGAAAAGGGGTCAGTGCATGGATGCGTGGATCGCAAAGAAGCAACCGAGCGACTCTTCGCAGGCGGGCGGAAGCTTGTGTGCATTTTCCTTTTCCTAGTGACTGTTTGGGGCCCTGCTGCAGGAAGTTTCTGGCAAGCTTATGCATGCATGTACATTGAAAGCCTCACTTCTCAAACTGTTTAACGGCCCCTGTGTGCATGCACGGGGTCCAAGTGCCTAGGGAGTTATAGGTTCAGCAGCCCTTTACCTTTTGCAGCTCTGAAGCTTGCAAACCCGTTCATTCGGAACTCATTCCCTACTTCTATACACTGCCCCTGGCGCCATGAGTCGAGCTCCAAACTTTGCAAAGTGCAACTGCTGATGGGCAAGTGCTGGTCTGCGTGCCTCAAAGCCATAATATGCTCGCCCCGTCGAAGGCGACGGTAGCGCTTCACACGAACCTGCGTGGCGGATGGCAAAGGGACAGGGCGCTTTCGATGGACTTGCATAGGTGCTACTTCCAGATCCGAATCGCATGCCGTGATTGCAAATGCAAAGTGCAATGTATGTATGTATGTATGTATGTATGTATGTATATCAATGTCTGTAATTGTATGTATGCATGCATGCATGGATGTATACGTACATATGGCGACAGAGAGAGAGCGAGAACGAGAGAGCGAGCAAGAGCAACATCATGCGTATATACACACTGTATACATATATATATATATATATATATATATATACATATGCATATACATATATATATATATATATATATATATATATATATATGTACACTTGTATGTATAGTATCTAACTTCCTGGTTCCGCATTTGCTACAGATGTGATCTCATTGCATTGGTTGGGCAGCTCAGGGGTTGCGCAGATGAGACGGTGCCTTCTCCTACTTGGCCCAGTAACTGACAACACTCTATAACACCGCCCTATTAAAATCCTGGCCTAGAGCCCTTTTGGGACCCTTCAAAGCCTAATTGTTGGATCCTTTGGACCCTTGAAGCGACAGCTTTTTGGTCACACGCAGTCAGAAGGCGATCTGATGAGAAGCGGGCAGACGCTATGCAGAAATAGGTATACTCAGCACAGAGTTTTCGTGTGTGTTTTCTCTTTTTTGAGTGCATGCATGTATAAAGTTAGATACATCATATAAACGCTTAAGCTAAACGCAAGCTTTGCAGCTCCAAGAGTAACAGGAGTAGGAACCTGCTATTATGCTCTTATACTGCCTGATCAGAGATCGGTAGCTAATGCTGCGAGCAAGTCGAGCGTCTTCGGGCTGTGCCGGGTTGCAAGCCCGGCCGCCATGGCGCAATTGACGGACTTGAGCTGTCCCTAGGGCTCCAGTTGCCGAAATAATGGCTACTGGATAAATATTGCATGACATGAAGCAACTGAAGCACTGGGGTGTGGTAAGAATTGAAGCGACTGGCTG